TCACAACGTGTGGGGAAGCCCCGACATCAACGATAGAGGTGAGTCCCTCCTAGACTTCATACTATCAACTAACCTAGAAGTAGCAAACGTAGGAGAGGAATACACCTTTGTAGGTCCCACCTCTTCAAACGTGCTAGACTTAACACTCGTAGCGGGAACAAGTACGGTGGTATCTGGCTGGAGAGTCCTTGAAAGACCATCCTTCTCAAGCCACAGGTACATCCAGTTTAAGTGCGAATTTGAACACTCTCCGAAGATAACTGTCATAGAAACCCCCGGAACACAAACTGGGAAAAGTTTAAAAAGACAGTTACCTCGAAGCTCGCGAATCGTCCGGGCACAGTGAAATCCCCGGAAGACATAGAAACGTCCCTAGAGACCCTATCCAGGGAACTACTGGATGCGTACCACGCATCGTGCCCACCCTCGAGAACGAAAAAGAGGACCAAACCACTCTGGTGCTGGAACCGGGACCTATCGCTCCAAAGAAACAACCTCAAAGAATTCTTCAAAATCGCCAAACAGGCGAACGAGGATATGATCAATGAGGAATACAAAACCCTACTCAGGGAGTACAAGAAGGAAATACGCAGGGCACAAAGAAACTCGTGGAGGAACTTCTGCTCCAATATCGAGAAAGTCCCAGAAACAGCTAGACTTCGGAAGCTGCTATCAAAAGCAACCCACCATACAGAGTCAGCTGAAACGAGAAGATGGACAGTGGACTGAGGGCAGTGAAGAAGCCCTAACAGCACTAATGGAAGCTCACTTCCCAGGATGCACCGAGGTTGCTGACGCTACAACGCATCAGGACCTAGCAACTGAGGAAGAGCATCCCCCAACAGGTCTCATATCGTCTAAGAAAATCCACTGGGCTATAGACTCCTTTGCGGGTACAAAAGCACCTGGACTAGACGGTATATTCCCAGCCATGCTACAGGTGACCAAAGACGTGATCACCCCATGGCTCTCTGCAATATACTCAGCTTGCCTGAGGCGCGGGCTATATCCCTATTCAATGGAGGACCTCGAGGGTTGTCTTCCTTCCAAAGGCAGGAAAGTGCAGCCATATGAGCCCCAAGGATTACAGACCGATAAGCCTCACCTCCTTTCTACTCAAAACACTAGAAAAGCTGCTGGATCTACACATCAGGAATGATGTAGGGAGACTGATGTCAACCAACCAGCATGCCTACACCAAAGGGAAATCGGTAGAGACGGCACTGCACTCGGTGGTAGCCACCATCGAGAGAGCCCTCCATAATAAAAAAGTATGCTCTAGGAGTGTTCGTAGACATATCCGGAGCATTCAACAACGTCACTACGAGCGCTATTATGGACCGCCTAGAAGCGACCAATACACATCCCGCAATCAACCTCTGGATAAAGAACCTTCTAAGTTGCAGACGGGTGCAATCAGAGTGGGGCACCGCTTCCATGGTGAGGGGGGCGCATAGGGGCACACCACAAGGTGGGGTCCTGTCGCCCCTCCTGTGGAACCTGGTGGTCGACGACTAATAAAGAGATTCGAGAGGAGAGCCCCAAAAATAACAGCCTATGCAGACGACATAAGCATAATTATTACGGGAGTATGTCCATCGATCTTTAGCTCCATAATGGAATCAACACTCAGGGAGATATGTGAGTGGGCAGGAAAAGTAGGACTCAGTATCAACGCGGACAAGACGGACCTCATTCTCTTCACCAAGAGATACAAGGTACCGGCATGGATCCCCCCAAAAATTGAAAAAACCAGTCTGACCCCTAAAACACAAGTCAAATACCTCGGCATAGTACTGGACAGCAAGCTGGCGTGGAGACCCAATGTAGTGGAGAGGGTGAAGAAGGCCACCATTGCGCTATATGCATCCAAGAAGATGCTCAGCAGCACATGGGGCCTGTCACCTGCTTTAATGCACTGGATCTTCATATCGGTGGTGCGACCGACTCTCTGTACGGAGTCTTAGTGTGGTGGCAAGCGACAGAAAAGAAGACGTATAATAAGCTTCTGGAAAGGACCCAGCGGCAGGCACTGCTCTGCATTACGGGGGCGCTGAGTCAACCCCAACAAAAGCTCTCGAAACCATAATCGGAATCGACCCCCTGGACATCCACGCTCAACTGATTGCAGCAAAGGCGGCACAACGCTTAGTAGCGTCAGGAAACATGTCTCTACAGGGATTCGGGCACAGTTCAATTGGCCGAGACATGACCAGTATATCTGACTACATTATCCCCCAAACTTGCCTGGACGTAAACACAACCTCATTTATGGGACCCGACGACTGGAAAAGGGGTCGGGACCAGACCCAACACATCAACATGTACACGGATGGCTCCAAGATGGAGGAAGGATAAGTGTGGGCATATATTGTACAGACCCTGAAATAAGGCTGTCCTATAAGCTACCGGACCAATGCAGCATATTCCAGGCAGAAGTCTTTGCCATACGGAAAGCGGCGGAGGTTGCTCGATGTACGGAACGCCCACATAATGTGATCAACCTGTTCGTGGACAGCCAGGCGGCGATAAGATCCATGCAGTCGTCAGCGGTCAGTTCCAAAAATGTCCTGGCAAGCAGGGAGGCATTAGATTTCCTAAGCACGACTAAGTCAGTGCGGATCTATTGGGTTCCCAGCCACCAGGGCATCGAAGGTAAGACAGCAGACGTACTGGCTAAGAAGGCGTCGGGCTGGCAAACGAGAGGACTGAGAACGTGCCTGTCCCCCTCAGAGCGCTCCAAAGCGATTTAGAAAGGAGGCACAACGTAAAGGCCAGCAGCAGGGTGGAGGAGAACCACCACCAACTGAGATTTGAGAACCATGAGAGAAAGGTAGCCTAACCTACTACACCTACCACGGAAGGACTGTAGGATGCTAAATTGGATACTCACAGGTCATTGCCTGGTTGCAGCACATGCAGTCAAACTAGGCATCACCAACAGTGACAAGTGCAGGAATGAACCACGAACTGGGTGCGTGAAACGTTAAGTTCTTACTTGTGTGTACTTTAGAAAAATTTGCATATATATTTAAATTAAGGTTGATTGTATGAATCAGTTTAGGATACCTAAAGGGGCTTGTTGTTTTCCGGTTGTGTCACTCGGATATTAGGTCTATATCTTTGGTTTTGAGGTATTTCCACGGTAACTGTTTCCACGATTACCTCGGTTATTTCTGTAACGAGTTACTGATAGTTACTGAAGTTACTGTTGTTACCGTAGGTATTATTGTAATTATTATTATTATTGTATCTGCCTCTGAACGAGTTACTATTCCGGTTACCTCTGTTTTGGCGGCAGTACAACACTGCATCACTTTTTCCTGTAGCGTCAGTGCAACTACCAACGAATTTTGTAATGACATCATTCATCGTGTTGAATGTGCCAGCCTGCATTATTAATTTTACTTTTTCTATTGAGCAATTTGTTGTCATGGCCTTAACAGCATGTTGTGTGCTATATTTGGTGGCCAGTTCTAGAGGAAGTCCATCTGTGATGTATGCTCCCTCTAAGGCTTTAGTCATCTGCTCAACCTCTTTTTTGTACTGGTTGGCTGTTTTGTTTCTTTGTTGGAGGTTCATTAGTTTTGCTGATAAAACCTCCACTGACATTAACCTCGCCTTTGACATTAACCCTGAGGCTGGAGATTACCTGCGCTAAGGTATTTTCTTCTCCAATCAGGTTTCTAGCCGATCCCTTAAGTTTTGTTTTTATAATTGAGATCGCTAGTTGCTCATGTGCGCCTTTAATGGCGTCGACAATGTTAAGGGCATCTAAAAAACTTTATAGGTTTTCCGCTTTCCCATCAAAGTCTGGGATAAGCTTCGATGCTGTATTTATAAAGTCTATATATGATTGTGCCATTCTGATGGTTTGATTATGTTGGTTGCTCGATGCTGCACTAGTCGACGAGGTGTCGTCGTTTACCGGAAGTTTCGATCGATTTGATCGAGAATCGTCTTCAGATATGATGCTAATATTTTTTATATTCGGGGGCCTGGGGCTTATTGGCCTTGATCCCGATTCTACAGCTGGTATATATGTCGCTGCTGTGTTGAGAATTGTTGGTATATGTATGTCCAAATTGAGCTTTTCTTTAACGGTAACCAATCGTTCTCTTAGATGTTGAAAATGTCTGTTGCTTGAAACCAATGTATATCGTCAAGTCTTTGTTTATTTGTTTGAAAAAGGTCTCTGATCTCATTGTAGATTTCTACTAGGTTGGTTACATGTTTAATGACCGTACTATTTTGAGTAGGTCTGTTTTGCGTTAAGCATTTATAGGACTTATCGAACTCTGCTCTAAGAGTACAGACTTTAGCGCAGATCGTAAGCCAGGCCATGTGGTGTTTCTATGTTGTTCATTCCGAATGGAAGACAATCTGACATCATTAACCAAAATTCTTGAATTTAAGATTTAAATATAACGAAGTCGATGACCCTGCCTAGAATGGAATGCTTATTTATTACGGATTTTACTGCGATACCTGGAATGGTAGTGTGTTTTTGAACAATGTATTAAAGGTGAGAATTCTAATTGAAATGTATCCATGTACATATATTCGAGCTCTATAATGCTCCTAGGGGTCGTTGAGACCTATTGTAGAATTCTATTTGAAAAACCTGGGTCCCTATTGTAGACTTCTTCTATTATTTTCAATGTAGTCATGATAAAAATTGTTTTCTATAATGAATTTTTCGCAAGTTATACCCTATCTAGATTTATATCTCTACTCATATATCTTTTCTTTATGATCTTGTTGTGCTTAACATATAATGTTAGCAAAAACTGTAGTGTACTGACTATGGTCAGTATTAGAAGCAGAACAAACAGGGCTTGGATACCATCTCTGTGGTCGATTATTTTGACATTATTGACCACGTTGGCCGTATTGTCTTTGGTTTGGCTATCATCTGAGCCAATCCAACCCATGTTTGAGTTTTTTTTTTTTTGAAACTGAATTTTGATTTTAAATTGAAAGATAAAAAAAATTGGAAAAATTTATAAAAACAAATTCTTAATTTGAAAGTTAGGGTATACATATGTGTATTCGCAAAAAAAATTATTTTTAAGTGAAATATGAAGATATGTTTTAGGGCATATGGCTGATTAACATTGTTTTGCTCTATATAATTAAAATATCAGCCATATGTTTTTAGTAATAGCCTATCATTTGTTAGTTTTTTACAAGCAGCGTTTTCACGCATCTACTTGTGGACTTAAATGTATTATTATATCTATTGGTAAATGAAGTCATTTGCATAAATGCAGCCTTAGTAGTTCTAAAATAATTCGTAGTTATTTTTGTCTCGACATCTATACCAAACGGAATCCAAAATGGCTTTGAATATTCCGCTTAAAACGCCCTTCATGGGCCACGTAGACTCTGTGGTGGATTTGAGCTTCAGCAAGGCCTGTGAGGGCCGCTACAGCTTGGCATTCGCCGGACAGAATGGCCTAGTTATTGTGCGGGACTGTCGCGGTGAAAATGTAGACAATGCGCTTCGGTCCCATAAAGTGTTTCACGGGTGCAACGGCCGCCTGCAGCTCGCAGCTCGCTGCCTGCTCCTGTTCCTGTTTCTGTTCCCGGCTGTGGGGTCTGCGGTGGCATGCGGCCAAGCACACTCTCCTTCGCTGATGTGGCACCCATTTGGAGCGCTGCCTGCGGCTGTTGCTGCTGTTGCTGTTGCTGCTGCTGATGCTGGTGATGCAGCATGTCCTGGGCATAGCTCTCGGCCAGGCTGCGCGGCGGCGAGAGAATAGGCCAGAGAATAACGTCGCACCAACTCACCCCGGCCAGACCCTTGATCTTCAGTTCATCGGCAGCCCTCAGCAGCGACGGTAGGCTGGCCTAAACCGAAGCACAAACAGTGTGATGAGCATGAGCAGGTGAGCAGTTTGAGGGTAGTATACTCACGTGCTCCACATTGATCTCCCCCTTGTACATGAACTCAATGAGGCACTTGACCTCGGCAAAGGTCACATCCTTCATGATTATAATGGGATCCCGCTCGCTGGCACAGCTCGTGAGCACCGAATCAAAGAAGGTGCTGCAGGCGCACAGCACCACGCGATGGGCGCGTATCATTTGTCCCTCGCAGGCCAGAGTCACATCGCAGAAGCAGCCGCGATCCAGCAGCTGCGAGAACATCATCTGCGCCTTGCTGTAGGGGTACTTGCAGCGCAGGCAGTACTGCTGCGGCTGCATGGTGAGGCCGAACTGCTGCTGCTGTTGCTTCTGTTGTTGCTCCTGTCGTTGCTTCTGTTCCTGTTGCTAATGACGACGTTTAAATGTTCTCAAATTGAAGTACATATGTAAATGTAAGTACTTGTATTTAGTTTTTGCAAAATTTCAAAACAAGCCAGACCTACTGTGATATCACACAGTCATCATACCATTGTCATTTAAAGGACAATTTTCAGCTTGATTTGTAGCTTTTTTGTTGTTAATTAATGCCACAAAATAAAGTCTTAAAAAATAAATTAACAAAACAAAATAAATATAAATCAAATTAAATTCCCAATTCCCAATTTTAACGGAACGTAAAAAAAATGTTATAAAACTTTATCTTTGGCTTGATATTCGTATAAATAAATCAGATGATCAGATCATATATTTCCCTTTTTTTTACCCGTAGTCAAAAAAGAGTTAAGGGGTATATTAGATTTGTGGTAAAAGTGGATGTGTGCAACGCAGAGAAGGAAACGTTTCCGACCCCATAAAGTATATATATTCTTGATCAGCATCAATAGCCGAGTCGATATAGCCATGTCCGTCTGTCCGTCCGTCTGTCCGTCTGTCTGTCCGTCTGACCGTCTCGATGAGCGCCTGGATCTCAAAGACTATAAGAGCCAGAGAAACCAAATTTGGTTTCCAGACTCATGTGATATCACACTGCTACAAGTGTATTTCAAAATTTCGCCCCGCCCCCTTCCGCCCCCTCAAAGGACGAAAATCTGTGGCAGGCACATTTTTAAAGATACGATAAAACTATAAACGCAGTATCGTAGAAAATGACCATATCTACCAGACTGCCGAATCTAAATCAGATCGGATCATAATTATAGCCAGAATGAAGAAATTAATTTTCTGTTGGTTCCCTCTCCTTCTCCAGCGCTGCTGACGCTACTGATTCTCTTTCTCGCTCGCACACTCTGCACGTTCAGTGCGCGAGCAACCCCTAGCGGAGATGATGTAGAATCTAAATGGTACATGTAGAATCTACATGTTAGATGTACTATATACATTGTAGATGTAGATAACAGATGTAGCAAAAAAAATGTAAAATGTTAAATTTTTTTTTTTAATTCTAAAATTCTAACTAATCATAAGCTCAAAAATGTATATACTGACTGAGTACGGGTATAAGTAGAGTCGCGTCCCCAGAAGCGACTCACACGTTCCTTCTCGTTAATCATAAAATTCATTAGATATCTGTAGCAGTAGATGCCGACCAAAATATATTCCTTGTATGGGTGCGGGGTTTGATCTATTCATTCAGCTCTACAACCAAATTGTTTTCTCAATATACTCTACTTATACATATAATACTTCTATCCAATGGAAAGACGTTCATCAAAAGAAAAGAAAGAAATCTATTAATCCTGATTTTGTTTACTCCTTTGCTACAACAGGTTTCGGGTCTTTTCCATCTCCATTTCTTCCCACAGAAGCTAATACTGAATGCAATGCAGTGGGTGCGGCATTCACGCCCACGGTTCCTTCACGGTTTCCTTCTGCCACTGCAATAGGAACTTCAATATCTGCGGGGGATCCATTCTCGTGCGATTTCCTTGTACTTTTTGAGCAGAATCTTTAATTTTTGAAAATTATGCAAAAAGAGTCTCCTGCTATAATTTTGCTGCAGCCACTGGAGGAGCTTTAGCGGGATCTACGCGTTTCTTTTTTATATTTTGTGCTTTTACAACAGGAGGTTCATTTCCGCTTTGTGTTTGCTGCTGCTCCTGCTTTAATCACTGAAAACCTTCTGCTATATCCTCCTGAGAATCTCCAAGAATCTTAATCTTAAAAAAGCACACGGGTCTTTGCTCCTGCTCTAAGTCTTGAAATCAATCTATGGCGCCAACAATATTATCGATTGCTCAATATTTGGCCAAACATCGACTGTTGCTGCCCACCATCGATAGTATTGCGCGGAAAAATTGAAAATTTAAATTGTATATTGCATTAATGCAAATGAAATGGTTTCGAATACGGTTTATGGTACTTTATAAACTTTATATGCATGAAAAAATTCATTTTTGTTTGTGCTGTGCAGCTTAATAGCCTTTTTACACTGGGCGCGTCTGCTATCGATATCGGAATAGACGCAATGAAGCAGAATAGGCGTTTACATTGGCAGACGTGCGTCTTGAATTTGGATTTGGGTGCTTGATGACAAGGAAAGAAACACAAATTTTTGAAAATCAACAGAATTATGCAAGACGGCAGGAAAATGGACGAAACAGAATTGATTCTCATATTTATATATTATTTTCAGACATTTCATTGTAGAGTGGGAGTTCTTCTTCAAATTATGAAAACCACCGAAGTTCGTCTCCAGCAGTGTCTTAATGGCATCAGGGGGTCAGAAAAATTTCTTATGATAATAATACAATCAGTTTCAGGTATTTTATTTAATGATTTGACGTATATTTTCACCTTTTTGCACAATAATACATTTTTAGCGCCAAAATTTGATTTTTGATCTACAAGTTTTTGTTGTTATTAGTGGTGATAGTTGCGCTGATAAGGCAGAAAATAGCAAAAATGAGCAAAAGCAATCGAATATATCGAATAGACGCACATGAATCAGAAACTGACGCAACTTTTTGCCACCACTAGGGCCCTATGCTTAACCTATGTAAAAAAAACTGCGTCTCCGGCAAGACGCAAAGAAGCATGACGCAGCCCCAATGTAAACATCCTATAAAATATTGTCGATAGTATCGATGAGCAGATGATTCTTTTGTGCGATAAACAGTAATGTCAATCAAGCACAGTTCAGCCCCGCGCTAAACGAAAAATTCACTCGTTCGGTATGGCATTTAGAAATAATTGAAGTTGATGTTGTTGTATTTCGTTTCAAACATATTTCTTTTATGTAATGCATATTTGTTTTTTGTTGTTGTTGTTGCTGTTGCTGTAGTTTTTGTGTGTGTTGTTAACTTATAAAAAAATTGTCCATACTGTTGGCGGGGATGCCCCCGGTTTGTCAGTTATAATTACGTTTAATGATTAACTAGATTTCATAGTTTTGTATTATCAGAATTTCACTACCACAAAAAAGAAACACGATGGCGTCGGGCGTGGCGCAGCTTGCCGTGTCGCTCCCTCCGCTCGCTAATCTTCTCCATCTTTTTGGAGGCCGCTCACTCTGTGGAGGCGCCCAGCACCTGCAGATCCGCCTCATTTCTGGCCTCGAGCACATGCTTGGCCCCCTCGCTGGCATCGCTGGGCTTGGGCTTGGAGCTGCCGCGTTGAATGCCATTGCCTCTGTCTGCTGCATCCGAGTCCTGCTCAGAGCCAGCCTGGAGCTGCTGTGGCTGCTGTTGCTGTTGCTGATGATGCCGGAGGCGCTGTCGCTGCTTGGGCAGGAGGCTGAAGGTGCAGGCAGGCGGGGAGGCCAGCGTACTGGAATGTGGGGCAAGCTGTTGTGGCGGCTCCTCGGCAAAGTGACGGGCCAACTCCAAATATGCTCGCTGGGCGGGCTCCAGGCTGGCAGCATAGTGGACCAGCTCTGCGGCTACTCCGCGCACGAAAGAGAAGGAGTAAGGAGGCACAATAGGAGGTGGCCCGGTGGGTGGGGGATCTCTGAGGTCTGAGTGGCAGAGTGGTATTTATGTATGGTTATGTTTGCTTATTCATGGCCATGCTATAATTGATAAAATGTTAAAAATCTGTATCCTATCCTTATGTACTTTCTGTTTCTTTTTCCTATCATCAGAGATTATGACGTTATCTCTTTTTCCGATGCTTTCTACTGTATAGGGACCTGTATATTTACAATCTATCTTATGCCCTGTTTCGTTTTTTAATAAAACCTTATCTCCTACTGCTATTTCTAAATCGTTTATTTTCAAATCATATAAAGTTTTATTTCTTCTCTTATTCTCTTCGAGCATAATCCTTGCTCATTTATATCTATATTTACTCTCCTTAGAGTAATATTCTATGTTATATATGGGTTCTATGTATATAGTATAGGTATAGGTTCTATAGTATAGATAACTATAAAATTGTGTTGGTAGATTTGATTTTCTACCAAATACCAATTCATATGGACAATCATTGTGTGCCATAGATGGTGTAGTGTTAAAGCAGAAGACGAAGTATTGAAGCCATACGTCCCAATCAGTCTTATCAACTGATATGTTTGAACGTATGTACTCATTAAAAGTTCTATGACTTCTTTCTACTGTCCCTACTGTCTGGTGGTGATGTGCTGTGGAAGTTATGTTTTCTATTTCTAGAAATTTACATAAGTTCGTGATTATTTAATTTTTTTATTCTCTTCCCATGTCCGTAATGAACGTCTTCATTGGACCGTACTTCAGAATAAATTCTTCAAAAATAGCTTTCGCTACTGTGTTAGCACTTTTATTTCTAATTGGAATGGCAACTAGGTATTTTGTCAAGTCACATATTAAAGTGACTGCATATTCATTTCCCTTTTCTGATTTAGGAAGTGGACCAATCGTATCCACTATTACCCTATCGAAAGCCATTTGGGGGGTTTCCGTAATTGTTAAAGGAGTTTTTGTGTGTTTTATCGTTTTCGACTTTTGGCATTTTTGACATTTACGTACGTAATCAGTAATCTCTTTGGTCATACCTTTCCAAAAGTAATATCTTTTGACCTTGGCCAAGGTTTTCGTTATGCCTGTATGTCCTCCTTGAATTGGATCGTCATGTAATGTAGACATAATTGCTTCTTTTTCTTTTTCATTTTGTATTACGGTCACCGGGTTGAGTAGCGCTAATCTTAATGTTCTTAATATTTTATTGCCCATATTTTTAAAATTATCTATTGAAATGTATTCAAAGATATTTTCCCACGGTGCCACTTTGAGTTTGCGTATTTTTTGTTTACCGGCTTGCATTTCAAGCCTTTGGAAGAACTGACCTACATCAAAGGTTCCATTAGTATATAAATCGCTAATCTCATATCTTGCTGTAATTTTTTTTTCATGTTTGAAAAAACATAATTTATTATTTACACGCAAGGTCATTACTTTACGTACTTCATCGTTGTTGATGACTTCATATACGTTGGGCTTAGAAGCTTTTTCTAGAGATTTCCTAGGCAATTCTATCTGATCTTTTCCTGTGCAGGATTTCTGTCTACTTGTCTGTCTTG